TGCAAGCATAATTTCACTCACCAATTCCCTTTCAACTGAGACACGGCTCCACCGGGCCTTCTCTGATCCCACCACTGCAACCCAAACCCCAAGCCGCCCGTCGCAAACTCCACATTCGACCCCCACCGGACCGAACTATACCCGACCAACCCGTTACTATCTGCAACCCGCTTCCACTCCACCCTCCCCCCTTCTCCAACCCCAACCAAATTCACCCTCCCATCCATTCCCACACTCACACACTCCCCTCCCCCCTCCACAACGTCAATACTCGAAACCGAGCCCCGGTGTAAAGAGGTTTCGACCGTGGGGCCCGAATCGAACGACCCGTCAACGGGGTCGAGGAATGCGAAGTGGAGGGTGCCGGAGAGGGTGTAGAAGACGATGGATTTGGGGGTGGGGGATTTGAGGGAGGTGATTCTGGAAGGGGAGGGGATTGAGGAGAGCAGATGGAGGTTTGGGGCTGGGGAGTCAGGGTTTGGGGTTGAGAGGGAGTGGAGTTCGATGGAGGAGGACGAGGCGGCTGCGGCTTCGGCAGGTGGCGGTGGCCGCGACGGCGCATGAGGCGGGTGAAAGGGGAGAGATTGGGGAGAGGACAGCAGACGGCAGTCGATAGACTTTTGATTGGCGGGAAATGCGCTGGAAGTTGCGCGGTCGACATTTTTTTAGGGTTTTAGTGATTAGGAGTTCTTGGCCAGGGGTTCTATGACGAGCAAAATGGGGTTTTTGTGGAGGGGAGACTTTCCAACCGCAATGGAGTTTTAGGCCTGTCCATCCGGGCCGGGCCGGCGCCGGGCCCGGCCCTGGAAATCCGGGCCCGGGCCGGGCAAACCGGAGGCCCTGGACCGGCCGGGATACCCAGGCCGGGTCCGGGTCCGTGGCCCGGCCCGACGCGGCCGGCTCGGGCCGGCCCGGATTTTTTTTGTTTTTTATTTTTATTTTTTTTAAGAATTTTAAAAAAACAATAAAACATAAAAACATAAAATATATTTTATAATGTATATATATCATATTTATACTTTATATAAATATAAATTAATATTAGTACATATAAGTTTATGTTTATATATATGTATAGTCGTATTAGATATAATAAATATAATTCTTACTCTTCATATGTATTATACTATTATATAAATTATACTTAATATATGTACATAAGTTTTATGTGTATATATGTGTTATATATAAGTTAGTACTTATATACTAATGAGAGAGAGAAGTTATAAATATATATTATAAGAGAGAGTATACACTGTATCACATATATAAGGAGAGAGCATATTATACATATTATATAATATTATATAAGAGATATAAACATATATATAGAGAGAATATACTTATATATTTATATTACCTTATATACTAAGTAGCCCAAAGTATTTCATGTCATTCATATATGTATTATGTATTAACACAACACAGCACTGACACACTATATATTATACATAAACAAATGTTAAATACTTATAGTAATTACTAAACAATTGTATTATACATAAAACACACACACATTAAAACTTTATATATACACACAATATATTTACATATATAAGAGAGTATATTATTACATTAGTACTTTATATATAATATATATAGTAAATTATATATATATATATCATATATATATATTATATATTAATATATATAATATAATACTATATATATATATATATATATATTATATAATATATATTATTATACTATATATATCATATAATTATATAAGAATATATAAATTAAATAAGAGAGAGTATACTGATATATACTTATATAAGAGAGGTTACACTGTAATACCTTAATATATATACTTATACATATATTTATATATATCATAAGACGAGATATATCTTACTATACTTATCATATATACTTTACATATATTATATATATATAAGAGAGAATATATCTTATATATACTTACATAACTAAGAGAGAGCAGAGAGTATAATATATACTATACATATATTATACATTATAAGAGAGAGTATACATTGTATACTTATATATACTATACATATATTAAAAGAGCTAATTTATACATATATATACTTATATAGAGAGAGTATTACTTATATATAATTATATACTAAGAGAGATATAATTATATATATATTATATACACAATATATATACACATATACATATTTTTATATATAAGAAAATAATAAAAATTAAAAAAAACAAAAAAAATTAAAAAATGCGTTACTGTTCGGGCCGGCGACGACCGGGCCGGGCCCGGGCCGGACACCGGGCCGGGCCCGGGCTCCGGGCTTTTTGGACACCCCTACAATGAGTCACGCACAGGACTGGGACAAAATCCAAAGGTTTTATTTTCATATATCCCTCTAATCATAGTTTATTTCTTATCCTGCAAATTATCATAATTAATGGTTAACGAACAGTCACTTCGTTAATTTTAACTATTTTCTAACAATCTGAATCAAATCGATTAAGTTTGACTATTGTCGATTTGTTGGTTTTTTAGGTGTAGATCGGTTGGGTTAAGGAATGAGCTGCTTTCATATCGTACATCTCCTATTTTTTCAATTTTGATACTTCAGCTCAGAATTGAAGCCAAGACCGTGTGGGAGTTATATTGAAATCTTCAAACTGTCCGGATTCATATATACATCTCCTAATTAAAACACCGGATTTGTCCAATTAATTAACTAATGAGCTGATGTTTCAATCTTTATAAGTTACGAGCAATGAGAAGAGAGTTGTGGACCGATGGGGGGAGGTCGTGACATTCCTAAAAGCGAAACTAAGACGACGATATTATGACAATATTCTAAGATCGAACCTTCGTAATACCAACCCTGACTATTTAGGAGGGTGTTAAACCCTAATTAGAAGCCTTAAACCCTAAAAATTAATGTCCTAAATAGTCGGGGTTGCCAACCCCGACTGTTTAGGAAGGTAATTAGACTGCTAATCACAAAATTGGATCGGTTTTGGTAAATAAAAAAAGGGTCGGTTTAAAAAAAAAATTGAAATGGGTCTGTTTCAAAAAAAAAATTCTTATTCAGCACATTGCATTAATGGTGAGTACATGAGAATTCAACTCTTCCCTCCCTTTTTCCTCGTATACAACCTCGCACACGCAACAAAACACCCAAAATTCACCGCGCCAACTCCAGCCATCAACCAATACACCTTATCCAACCTCGACTCGTTAGCATTATCCGCCATCCACCCGTCCAAAAACCGCCTAATCATCCCAATGCCCGCCGACGTGGCATAACTCCCGACCCCCGATTGAAGCGCGCTCACCGCCATCCCGGACCCCTTGAACGACTCTGGGAACTCCTGATAGAAGAACGCGAGCTGCCCCGGAAAATGTAGTGCCTCGCCGAACCCTACCAGCATAAAACACGGCACGAGCCAAAGAACGGACATTGGTTGAGCATCGGTTTGGAGGTCGTGGAGCCGCTTTCGTTCGGTTAGGGCGCCGTAGACCATGGCGAGGGTTGTGATGAGAAATCCGAAGCCGATGCGGGCCAGGGAGGTTGGGTGTTGACCGGTGAGGAAGCGGTGGAGAGGGTAGAGGAGGTAATTGAGGAGGGGGATGGAGAGGGTGGCGGATAGGATGAGGAAGATGGAGATGGAGCCGATGGGGATAGTGAGGCTTGGGGTGAGATGGAGGTCCATGACGAGGGCTTGGAGGAAGGAGGTGGACATTTGGAGGCCGAGGTAGAAGCTGAGGATGATGCCAGTTGTGATTAGGGGGACAAGCCGGAGGAGGATGGTGAGTTCGTCTTCTTGTTTGACCTCTTGTGTCGTTGCTTCCTCTTGAGACCTGTAGAAAAATTGTGCATACAAATCACATCAGAACACTCTGCATATATTGAAAAATTAACTATTGTTAACCATAAGTGTATATATTCATGGTCTTGATTGATCATTTGAGCATATAATGGAATGAGCCAAACGCACGGGATATAATAAGTGTTAAGATATGAAAATGAATCAAAACCATCAACAAAATAATAAACTCTATGCTAAAAATTAGTGGTTTCTCCCCACTTATTGTGACAATGGAGAGAATTCAAATTTGTTGATCTCCTAGTTGCCCCCACTAACCCCTCTCCTATATGGCCTAGAACATCCTTCTCACGCACAAGATGTTCTGATATGATCAGTGCCTGTTGTACACGCACAGCTCTAACCCGCATACGCTCACACGGATACACAAACATGCATACGCGCATTCAAGCACACGCACACACCCATACACATGGACATGCATACACGTATCCGCGCACACATCCGTGCACATATACATGCGCATGATGATGCATGCACACAAACACACCCATCTACCCATACAAATCAGTTTCAAAATAAAGATTATTCTCTCCAAAAACTTTTTTTAAATACTACAAAATCCCAGCTCATAAGATCATACCTTCAAAATGAAACCATACCTTGGACACTCAATCGTGGTTTGCGGTTCAACTGCTCCATCATCAACCTTACTGCAACACAGTAGCCTTTCAGATGACTCCGACGCCGCCTTTCGCTTCCCCGCCCGTGACAATATCTGTCGAAAAATATCGACAAGTGGATTCTCCTGCGGCTTAGGATGCCGATAATAACGATTCCCAAGGAGAAAGATGACGAAACCGACTGCTGCAATTACAGAGCACACGCCAAAGCCCAGGACCCAGCCCAAATTAGCCTGAATGTACACGATCCCGACGGTGCCGATGATCGAAGAAATGTACATCGCGACGAGGTACCAGCTGAAGAAAGTGTCTCGGTCATTCTCGTCACCGAATTGGGCTGCGCCCATAGCTGCTCCGGTGAACCGGGTCCCGCCAAGGCCCACGGTCATTAGGGCTAAGGCCATGAAGAGTATTGCGAACTGCCATGTTGTTGGGCCCTGGCAGGGGCTATATGTACAGGACGGTGGCCTCAATGAGGGGAATATGGCAGTTAATGTAAATAGAAGCATGCCCTGCATTAACCACCGATGTTTAAGATTGTTTGACTATGCTCGAATCCAGAAATATGAGAAGAGTTTGACTTCACACCTACCAGAATTTTTTTTTTTTTTTGGCGTGTTGTCAGGATTCTAATCCCCTCCACTACAAAAAAAAAAGATAGTGCAGGGAATCTGATATACTATAGTAGATGGTTAATATTTTTTTATGCAAATTAGGAATGAGCGTAATTTATAAAGATACGATGAGTAATGGATTTCAAATAAATTATAATTATCTACTAAATAATTTAAATGTCTAAATGTTATATACTTAAAAAATTAACTGCGTAATGTTTTGCATCTATTTTTCTAATCAGTAAATTCTCAAAGCATCTTACTCCGGTTACTCAAAAGGTTGACTGTCAAAAAATATTTGGGTATCTGTCCAGCCATATATTTTATGAGAAATTTGTTTTCAAAGGCAAAACAAAGGCTCAATATATTCTAGAATAGAAACTAACACCGTGGGTGGTAGATTAAAATATTGAACTAAATGTTTTTTTAAGAAAAATATTGTACTAAGCGTTTACAAACGAGCACATTTTTTTTGCTCCCGTCCTTTCTCGCGTACACGTAATCCCACGTGCTTTCTTCTCTCTGCTATCTCAAAAGAAAAATGACCATTGTAAAGCTCTATGTTATTTTTTTATATTGGATAAATTACGCCCCTATATTCAGTGTTTTGCAGTAAACTCTCAATAGCTTTCAAAATCACATAGAAAGAATTTTGAAGGATAATCTCAGCGAAAAAAAAAGACAACTACGTACGGATCTATAGGGCACAAGAAAGAGGAGAATGAATGACAAAAAAATAAAAGATTTCTAATTCTAAGGTTGAAAATATAAAAAAGTCATAAACGGATTTTTTTTTTTTTTTGAAAGGTAGGAGTTGCACGAGCCACGTTAGATATAATTGTCTTACCTTTGATGGTTTCCTGCAAAAATTATTAGGGGTTTTGTGTAATTTTGAAAGTGGTTGATGGTTTAGTACAAAATGCTAAAAAAAAGTCTTGGGGTTTAGTGTAATTCTGAAGGTTATCGGGGATTTACTACAAAACGCCATTCTTAGGAGTTTGGTGTACTTTTCCCTTTTATTTTGTCATTAACAAAAGTGCAGGGTCTCTTTTGGGAACTTGTGAAGAGAAATTGTGAGTTATTACGTTTCTTACAGTATAATTATTACTATTCATCCTAATATTGATCGGTTTTTCTATAGAGTGCCCTTGGGTACTCTATAAGAGAGGAGAGAGATAGAGAGAAATGAATGAGGAGGGTACTATTCATCCTAATATTGATCCTAATATTGATCGGTCTTACAGTATAATCATTTATTTCTCTCTATCTCTCTCCTCTCTTATAGAGTGCCCAAGGGCACTCTATAGAAAAACCGAATATTGATTGCTAAAAATTGTGAGTTATTAGGTATCTTGCTCTTTTGTTCGTGGTAATATAAAATTAGTATGAACTTTTTATTATTATAATTATTACTATTGATCTTAAAATTAAGGGTACAACCCTTGAAGTTGGACATTTTGCACATAAGCCCCTTGCATTTTTTTTAGGTCACAAGCCCCCTTTAATATTGGGTTTCTCTTCTTAAAAGAAGATGATAAATAGATTTTACTTAAAAGAAAAAATATCTTCAATTGATTTTTTTTTCATCTAAAGAGTATTTTGTGACATTTTGAATGTTAAGGAGGTCATCTCCTGAAACTCGATCAATAAAATAATTTAAAAACAAAAAACAAAAAAAAAAGCCCAGAATATTCCAAGGCTGACAATTGATTACAACCGACAAGGGAATTACCAGGAAGCAGGCAGCGCAAGCAAGCTGCTGCGGCGAGAGCTGAGGCAAGTGCGAAATGAGCTCCGACGACTAGGAGGAGGTTGTCGAGCGACAAAGACGCTGGGATGACGATGCCGCGAGCGGGCGAGACATTGTATTTTTCCATGAGGTAGATGCCGAGTTGGCTAACGTCGCGTAAAACCCCGATCCCTACGCCACCACGGCAGTGCGTGCGTGCCGGCGCGTGCAAGCAATTAAGGTTAGTTAGCTCGACGAGGGGAGAAGCACGTGAGAGAGGGGGGGGGGGGAGAGAGAGGACCTAGAAAACGGAAGGTTTTCCGACCCCAAAAAAAAAATCTGATGATCGCGTACGTCATAGGGTTGCGCTCATAGATTGCCATTACACCTAATGCGAGAGTGATATGTGAGCACGGAAGAGGAGCGTATAACCGCGAGGGGGGCTATTAGAAATTGAGAAAGCTAAGTTACTGCAGATTAAAGGTTTTCTATATTCAAATATTAACAACCCCGAGGTAACATCTTAATATTAACATTTGAGCTAAGCGTTTTTTGCATCATGAGTTCGTGCTAGGGCCAGTTGGGGTACACAAAATGGAGCGAGATATATAAACCGTTAGATGCGTTTACACAGACACACCAACTGCATTCTTGATATCAAGAGAGAGAGAGTACGTGTGTGAACAAAGTGCGGGTGACTCGGTGGTGTGGCCTGTATGCATTTTCTTTCTATTAATTCGTTCAACTATAACCGCAACATAAAATTACATTTATATGACCTCAGCCTAAGTTAACTCTGGCATAAAGCCTAAACAGTACGGTATAATACAGCTAGCCACGAACTAAACATTAAATAAACTTTCTCCTTTTCTATATTTCTCTTGCCCCGTCGAAGATATATTTCATTTAAAGCTAACCAAAGTCCTTGATAGGTTTCGATAGGAACCAAACCCTTCAACCTTAACACGCTATGAAATAAGTAAACACGGCTAGGACTATAATAAGCTGATCGCGCCTGTAATTTAATGCAACGCAAAAGGAGCGAGTAACTTCTCAGTAACACGTACGCAATAATGGATGAGCAGCCTGGAGGTTCGGTTATTTGGCGGGATCGGGATTATTTATTACAAATAATTGTGAAACAACGGAACTCGTAATCGCCAAACCATACACAACTTTAAAAAAGGAACAGAACCATTATTTTTACAATGGTTGGTTGTTAGTTCGGTTTTACTTCAATCAAGTAAACTCACTTATTTATCTATTGATATATTATTATTCCCCTCTATTGCCAGCTATGTATTATTTTTAAGATTAATTAATTTATTAATTCTTCAAGACTACATGTATGATATATTGTTTGTAAGGTTGAAGTTAATTTGTCGTTTTGGATTAATACTAGACTTGAACGGTTGTATTTGTTTAGGTAAGATTTATTATAAGTTCTTATGCTTATGTGTAAGCAAGCTTTTTGAATTTGCGTCTATTGGGAACAAAAAAAGGAGCGGCTGACTGGACTATTAGAACACTGGTTAAGTAATGAATCAATTACGTGCAATGCATCAATTGTCATTACATGGGGTGATCGAACACTAGCAGTAAAAAAACGCCACAAATCAAGGCGACAATATATTCGGAATATGGTTATGGGGTCGGCGGAATTGAAAAAATTGATCAACGAAATGATGCTCGACCTGGAAAGTCTCTAATCAATAAGAAACCGGGGTCCGTTGGCTTTATTTCGGGTCAGGTCGGGTCGGTTCGGTCGGTTTTTTCGGTTTGAACCGAACCGTGCTCACCCCTACGCAACGATAACATCCGCTCCTATCATCGAAATCGACGTCAGTAGCACTGTCGAGGCAGCCCACCCAAAAGCCCCATCAAGCCCATAATTGAGATGGAGTTAGAGAGCCTAGACTTCATCGTAGGCAAAATTTTGTGAAAATGGTACAGGCACACCCCCAGGCACATCTTGTGCCACACCCCCTCTCTCAGCTACAGTGCACAGGGCCCACACATGATTTCATTAGAAACTTCAAACGTTACAAACGAATTCAAATAACGAAAATAAAAATTACAACTTTCTTGAAAATAAACACAAGATCCGTTTATCGTCTCTTGCTTGCGTGGGTCTTTGGCCTGTGACGGGGACGTCGATATCCGTGGACTACCTGGCAATCAGATCTGATCCAGAAAAATCGGGCATAGCTTCGTCGATCCGCGAGGGGATCTAGAAACTTGAAGCGCCTATCTCGGCTAAAGCGAGATATTTGCTCTTCTTAGGATTACCGGCGAAGGGTAATGCTAAGGAACGGACACGGGTGATGCAAATCTGATGAAGACCTCTCTTGTGTTGAAGCGCTCGACCACTCTTCCCTGCAGCAGGGCTTCGCCAACTCTCAAAAAATCCAGATCCCCCAAAAGTGAGGCCTAAGGCTCCTATTTATAGGCAAGAGGGGGTACAGGGCGTCGGGACACCCCTGGGGTGTCTAGGCAAAGCCGAGACACCCCTGGACTCGGATTTGAGTGATTCCAAGTGCGTTGGAAGCTTGACGAAGAGTTCCATCTGCTCCGATGGTTGGATTATCTGTAGAGTGAATGAGATATGAAGGACATTTGTTCTTTTTGTGAACATCGCAGGGTTCCCGATTGGCCCGTGCCTTCATTATTCCGAAATCCTATCAGCTCACGTAGTTCGTCGATTCACTTCAATCGTTCATCGACATCAATCGAACTCCTGTGGATCGGATAGTGATGTTCATCGTCGTTCTTTAACACTAAGCTGTTCGTGGAGACCTATGGGTAATTTTCGATGCCTACAGATACCCCCTCCAAAGCGTTCCGGACTCGTTTCTTTTATAGAAGAGGCTGGAATACTTTGGATGTGATTGGTCCAACCTTCAGTCAGCGTAAAGGACCTGTAATTAGTTTCAACTCTTGGCTCCTTCGATTTTCGGTCTATTCGATGCTTTGACGAATAACCGAAGTTCTTCCGGCGCTGTTGGCTCGTGTCATTGAACTGACTGTCTCTGTCACATTGTGATGACTTAGGGTTTCAGATCACCGTATGTTGACTTCTTATCACAACGCGTTGACTGGCGTTGACCTAGGGTTACGCGTTATCCTTAAGAATATATGATTCAGGTTATGAATATATGATTCTTTAGGAACTTCCCGTTACATAAATCGTCCACCCCCAGCTTCCTCTGCGGAACTGGTTTGGATATTATTCTCAGTTACCTGACCGGGTTATCCTTAAGAAGATTAGCGTAATATTCTCCAGGAACTTCCCGTCAAAAGTGGGAAACAGTTTAGACTCATGTACCTATTGGAGTATGTAGGGAGAAGTTTAACCTCATGCACCTGTTGGAGGATTGAGAAGCAGTTTATACTCGTATACTCTTCGGAGTGTTGAAAAGCAGTTTATACTCGTATACTCTGTCGGAGTCTTAAGAAGCAGTTTATACTCTTATACTTGTCGGAGTCTTAAGAAGCAGTTTATACTCTTATACTTGTCGGAGTCTTGTTTTGACTTAATTGAGCGATATAACGCCGGCTTCAACCAAGGTTTGGATGCTGTTCTTTAAAGTAAAGCACGCCTTGGTGGGATGAAGGATCCTCCTGTGGTACGCGCAGTACCGATAGGTGGTAGCTTGATCTTGTTGTTTTCAAGGAGGGATTCGAAGATGGCTAGAACGTCTTCGTCCTTGAAGGAATACTCTTTTTGGAGTTTCGGTTCCGAAGTCTTTTGCTGTCTTCGGGATTGCTGTTGTGACCTTGATTGTTGAGGCGCCTTTTGTTGCTGCTGTTACGGTTGCGCTTGCACCTCGAATATTTGATTCGTGTCCACAGCATTCGCATGTGCTTTTCCCTTAGGGACAAAGTTCTGTTGCGGGGCATTATTAGCTATTTGGCCCCTTTCCACCTTCTTCCTTTTAAGGAATCGCTCGGCTCGTTCTCCTCGCATCTTCAAGTCCTTCTAGGTCTTTGGCGGTGCCATTCCCATAGCTTCAAGGACGTCCAATGAAAGATTATTATGACAGGTCTCGAGGATGAAATCTTCGCTGACCGGATCCCTGCAATTCATTGCTTTATTTCGGAATCTCTTCACGAAGTTTTTAACTGTCTCACCATTCTTCTGCTTCTCATCAAATAGAGTGCCGATTGAAATCTCGGTGTCGTCGTCGAAGAAGTTTGTTAGAAACATATCCTCCATGTCGTCCCAACTGCTGACACTCCCTGGCTTGAGGCGACGATACCAATCGAAGGCCGCTCCGCGAAGAGTGCCAACGAATGACCGTACCATCAAGGGTTCATTGCCGGAGATGATTCCTAAATGAGACTTAAAATATATTAAGTGTTGGGTAGGGGAACCCTTTCCATCAAACGGCATAAAGTTGATTAAATTGAACTTTGCCGGATATGGAATTGATTCCCACTCCCTTGGGTATGGACATGGTATGCCGGACCTCTTTACTTCTTGAGCATTCATCAACGCGTTGATTTTGCTCTCCAAGTCCTTCATCTTCTTGTCTTCACTCGTACCTGTCTTCGAGTGGCTTTGGGGAGAGGTAACGTGGTCCTCTTTTACATTATCATCTACAGGACCACTTCCGTTGTCGTTTCTTTTGCATTGTCATCCAAGGGACCGCTTCCGTTATTGTGGTTGACGGGAGGGATATTTAAGTTGACATTATCTTCTTCCCGTTCATTCTCCTCTTGATTCGGATTATTGGGACGACTGGGTTCTCCTTGGTGAGTTGTCAGTGCCGCGATTTGCTGGTCATGCATCTCTCTCATCTGCTGCATGGCCATCTCCATCTCGAACTTGAAAGCTTCCTTCTGCTTAGTCAGGGCATCTTCAAGCATCTTGCTTACTTGCTCGGCGCTGATCATAAGTGACTCGTAAGGTTGCCCCGCACTAGACGCCGTGTCATCGGATGCTATAGCCGAGCAGGAGTCTGAATCAGC